ATCCCCAAGGTTGAACGACCCATCCCAAGGTTGAACGACCCATCCCCCCAGGTTTCACGACCCATCCCCAAGGTTGAACGACCCATCCCTTCTCGAATGTACGGCTTTCTACTGCTTTGTGTCGCCCTCGAAGGTGAAGCAGGCGGACCTTTGGCCCGGCGCACTTCCTGTCCATGGATCAATAGCCATGGGCCCAGAGTTCTGCACCTAAGCTTTTCCTTGTGGAAGCTACTGGCACATACTGGCACCATACTGAGGAGCAAAAGAAGCATTTTGGGGGATTTAGCTTGCTGGTTGGCGTCAGCTAGCAAAACGATTCCAAAGACCCCGGCTGCAAAAGTTCGCCAGGCCTCTCCTTCCTTCCGAGCCCCCCCCATGTAGACTAAGTGGTCGGCTCACTTGACGATGCCTCACCGATGCTTCCTGAGCCGACTTGTGGATTTGGAGCCAGTTGCGATGATATAGCTCCACTTCCACAGATATGACTCATCGAACGAATCTAAACAAATCTTCCAAAAACAGTGCCTTCTTGAGAAATCACTGCAAGACAATAACAAAAGAAGTGTTTTGCCGAACTGTTATCTTTTTGGTAAGCAGAATCGCCCAAATCTGGAGGGCCTTCCTCGGCGGCACCCCGTTCTTCTTTCTGCTCAAAACGAGCCGCGAGACTGCTAGGTCAGATCATCCAAGCTTCAAAGGAGGAGAAACGCCATGGACGAAGTCCTGGGCCTTGATGGGACGGGCAGCCATACAACTTGCGCTCCAGTCCAGACGCACCTCACAGTCCTTCCCCATTGGGGGGGTACAGGAGGAGACTACACACCAACCGATAGCAACACATGCACCACACCTGCCGCGCGGTGGACCGGATGAAGCCCGGGTCCAACCTGACGCGCGTTAAGGCGAACCTCGAAGTGGTTAGGACGAAATTCCTAATTCATGGATCAAGACTTATCGAATCAAGAGAGGTTTTGGTTCCAAGACATGTCTTCACTCGCTGGTACGAGAGCGATGCCGCTTCATGAATGGGAGTTCGATCGGCAAGGCGTCCCCTATCAAAGAGCAATCCAAATTAGGAGTCAGAGGGAGACGCACATTTGATACTTTGGGAGAATCAGGTGTGGTTTTGAGGTCAAATTGGGGCCATTTGATCAGATCTACATCAATGCTTTCCCGTCTCCTTCAAGGACTTCCCTGAGCTTCTACTGAATTCGGGGATCAAGAGCCCACAACGACCCCAGATTTGAAGCTTTGTAACTCTCTTCCGCCAAAAAGAAAGACGAGAACGAGTCACACTCTTCCAGTTCAACGTCCAAATCCCTTGGGTGCAGTCATTCGACCGCGTGAGCTTGAGGAGAATGGCATCCAGAGGATCTTGGCATGGCAGCCCAGCGGGTCCGGTAGCAGGTCTGCCGATTGGATGAATTCAGACAGACCTTTAGATGAATCCGTCACGTTTTTTGTTCAGGGGATTTGTTGTTACATTTAGAAGATTGGTGCCAGGAGTCACATGGAGTTGGGTGCCATCCATGGAGGAAGGATAGGGGTGCCCCAAAATCAACAACCACTCACTGGATGGGACTCAAAAGCATTCTTTTGTGACTCTTGGTGTAAGAGTTTTTCCCCTCACACTTCGTGGTCTGGGTCCCAATCTCTTCGCTTTTTTCGGCCGGGAGCGACTCAATCGACGCGTTCGGTCGCAGCGAAGGCCCTTTGGCGTTCGGTCGGTGCGAAGTCTTGTGGCTGACAAGAGGGTGCCCCGAAATTGGCATGTAAAGAACGGACCAATAGCAATGGCCTTCAACCCAAGAAAGCTTTCAACTGCAGAGACATGAAATAGCTCCGTGCTCAAGAACCGCGCCTGGGACTGCCAAGCTCGCACGCGCCACACGCCACGCGGACCGTGTGGCTGTGCCTTCCTCTCGCGCCACGCCCTTTCCTCGGTAACGGCGGCGCCCTTTCCTCGCCGACCGGCGACCAGGCTGTGATTGAGATGTGCATCCGGGACATGAACCTGGCCCGGATCCCCGGATCACGAGTTTCTTTTTTTCACAGTGGCTAACACAGGCTCCGCGCGGGAAAAACGTGGAGACACAGGTGATTGGGATACAGAGTCGGGGGGTGTCACATCATGCGAACTCTGTGGCGCTAGGCTTTGTGTGTGGGGGGTGTCCCATTACTTGTAACAGTCGGTAAAGAACATGACGATTTTAGAGAGGCGGGTCAACCAGGCCCCACCATCATCCAGTGGGCCCAGGGTGTCTAGGGTATATACCCAAGCTTTATGAGTTTTTGTTATGTTTGTATTTTTGGCGACCCCCCAAACGAAACCGGGCGCAGCCACAGCGCCACGAAAGCGGGTGCAGCACAGAGGCGCGCATTGGCTCATCGTTCTTTTCTGGAACAGATTCGAACAAACACATTTTGTTTTTCCAGGTCGAACACTTATTCGTAAAACCCCTCCCAATCAAAGGTGATAAGGACTCTGGATGGTGTGAATCCAGGACTCTGCTCTTCGGAAAGCCATCCATCTGTTCCTCGGCTTGCCATCCGTGCCCTTCCGTGCCGGTCCGTGTCCCCAGGTGAATCTGTCCACGTCGCTGCACCGTCTGGCGAAGCTCTCGGTGAACACACCGCAGAGCGACAGCATGCTCCGCCAGGCACCACGCGCCACGCGCCACGAACGTCGTGCTGCACAGCGGTCGCCAAAACGCTAAGAAGGACCATCGAAGCGCCTGGTTGATGGGCTGGAGTAGTCCCAGACGACTTAGGGATCTCCATGGTTCTCACCCCAACTGGATGTGCGTGTCGGTGGTTTTGTTCGAGCAAACAAATTCCTCAACTGTTCAATGAGAACTTGTTGGCCTGGGCTGTTTGGCATGGAGTGCAAGGCCTGGAAGACGGGCCTTGGAAGCTGACACAGTTTTGGTAAAAGCAGTTGAGGTCGGATTTGTGAGTGCATTTCAGATCAAGGGGCAGCCCATGATTGCAGAGAGAATGCCGAGAGGCTACGTGACATTTGCTTAAAGTTATTGTGACACACTGCACTATATAAGTACCATATTTTAGCAGCAGTGAAGCAGAGCTGAAGGCGGGCCCAAAGAAGCTCTTCTGAAAGCTTTCGTTGCTGCAATGGCTGCCGACGGGGCACGACCACAGGAGAGCACAGGCAAAGAGGGTCAATTTCAATCGAGCAAACGGGAGATCATCCAGATCCAAATTGGCAAGGCCGGCAATGCCATTGGTAACTGCTTTTGGCGCGAACTCTGTGATGAGCACATGATTGTAACTAACAATGACCAGCTCCGAGGCTGTTTAGAAGATGGCGAGCCAGGGGGACATGGCTACCTGGACGTGTTCTTCAATGAGGGCCGAAAACGGAGCCACGGCACGCGCCACGTGCCGCGCGCGATTCTCATGGACACCAACATGGGCGACTTAGCCACGGTGGCGCAAGACCCCAGGATCGGTGATTTGTATCGGCCCGAGAACATCATCGGAAACGATGAAAGCTCGGGGAATTGCTATGCCAAGGCCTTTCACACCGAAGGTCCTGACCTGGCTGATAGATGCTTGGAGATGGTTCGCAAGGAGGTCGAAAAGTGCAATTGCCTGCAGGGCGTGCAATTCACCCATAGTGCCTCCGGAGGAACGGGTACTGGCCTGACAGGTCTTGTGTTGAAGACTTTGCGGGACTACTTGGACAGGCAAAGCAAGTGTGTCATGCAATCCTTTGTCTTGGCGCCAGCCCCGGGTATTTCGGATGTGGTGCTAGAGCCCTACAATTCGGCACTCTGCTTTCAAGATTTGTTGGAGTACACCGACCAAGTCTTTCTCTTTGACAACAAGGCCCTCAGTGAGATTTGTCAAAAGGCCTTGGAGCAGGACATGCCCAAAATGGCTGACCTGAATCGCGTGGTGGCTCTTTGCATGTCTGGCATTACCAGTTGCTTGAGGTACACGGGGCCTTTAAATGCAGATCTCCGGAAGTTGCAGACCAATCTGGTGCCCTTTAAGAATGCCCACTTCTTGATCAGTGGCCTCGCACCCTTGACGGCGAAGACCTCCGAGAAATATCGCAAGAGCACCGTCTTGGACTTGGCGCAGCAGATGTTCTCCAAGGATAATGTCACGGTGAAGTGCGATCCTTTGAATCCAGGTGGAGACGGTTTTTTTCTCTGTTTTTGTTTTTAAAAACCACCCAGTTTTGGCAAGTCTTGGCCTGTTTTGCTCTGCAAAGCAGCGCAAAAGACAACAAATTCTCAGAAGAATTAAAGATCCCTAATAGATGCCCAACAAAAGGAAACAAACACCCGGAGATGAAAGAAAAAAAAAACGGACATGACTAACAAGAGAAAAATACAAGACAGACACAATGACAAACAAACAATGGAAGAATTACAGAAAACGGACGGCCCAAAAAACAAAACTCCAGCCAACTTGGCTTCCAGGGTTTATGGGTAAGAGTTCAGAACGAGAAAGAAGACTCTTTCGACCCAAATTGACATCATCCAATAAACCAAAAAGACCAACCTTGTGAGAAGAAAGAAAAAGACACCGGTTGCTTCAAAAAAGAAAACACCTATGAAACGGACCCATGAACATGAAAAAATGACACGAAACGAACGAAACGAACCTGTCGTTTGGGGTGATGGTATAACCATATGACCAACCACTGCTTCACTCAGCGTCTCCGAATTCGCTCAGTCGCAGCGGAGCGGAGCGTCGCAGGTGACGAGTATCATGGCATCTTGAAGGCCCGGTTCTTGGCCTCCTGGGCGTCGTGGCGAGGGGACTACCAGACCAAGGAGGTGGATAAGGTCCTCCATGATTTCCAAAAGGATGCTCGGATATACACCGAAACGGAGATACACAGAAAAGGATATACACACATAGTATATATACTATATTTATGTAGATATATACCAGGAGTCGAAACCTAACAGGTCACCAGCTGCGACTTTGAGGTCAGCAGAAGCCTCCAGAGGAGACCTGTTGCAAGGTGCCGGTATATACATATATAATATAATATATATATATATTTTTTGTCACTGTTTCCCCGGAAAAAGGAGTCACGAAGTCGGCTGGCTGATTTCTAGCTCGTTTTCTTTTTTCTTTTCACAATTTTTTTCTTTTTGTTTGACAACCGTTTTCAAGACATCTTTTGTACTCTTCCCAGGTTGATTTAAGTTGCTTCAGCGAAGTAAAGGAAGTTCCCTTTCTTGCATAATTACCCTTAAGACTTAAGACCATTCGAGTAGACTTCTGGCACGACCTATAGCTACATGAAAAGAAAAACTATAAGTTTTTTCTCAGTTTGCATCCAAGGATGGAAGTCGCTTTGACAAGTTCTTCCCCGATTGGATCCCCAACTCAATTGCCTCGAACATTTGTGCGCCTAAGGGTAGCAGCAACTTGGTGGCTGCAACTTGGGGTGATTTTTCACTTTCCCTACATCCCTGGCATAGAGAATGTATGGGAAGATGTTTCTTTTTTTCCTAGCTCCTGGACATAAGCAAATCCAAGGCAAGGAGAAGGACATCCAGAAGGACAGTCGTGTGGTCTTTACCTCGAACAATACCTCCGTGCACGAGGTCTTTGATCGATGCATTAAAGTCTGGGATAGCCTCTATAGATCCAGAGCCTATGTGCATGTGTACGAACAGGATGGCATCTCGGTTCATGACTTAGTGGAGAGCCGGAACATTGTCAACTACATTTCTGATGCCTACAAGGAGTTTGCTCGATGGGAGGACAAGTTTTTTTGAGCAGGATGGTGGTGGTGGCTACAACAAACCAGTCATTCGAGATCGAGCTGTTGAGAATGACGAGCAGCTGACCATTGCTGAGGAACTGAAGAAGTTGTGGGAAGGCGAAATGTACATAGAGCAAGTCAGTCATCGGCGATGAATGTTGCCGTGGAGGACTCTTGTTTCTCATGCCAAAGAGCGTTGTATATTAACTTGGGCCAGTGGCCACCTGACTGACGTGGCCTGGACGCCCAGAATTGAGAGCTGAGAGCTGCAAAACGCCGCACCAAACACGGGAGGATCCGCCACAAACACGATGAGTCACACCATGGTCTTGTTCGAGCTGGTGAAGCCCCGTCCCGATTCAGTCGCCGATCATGAAGTTGCTGCTGGTTGGCATTGCCACCGCCTTCCAAGCAGTGGAGAAGGTCTTGAACTCAGAGCCAAAGTGTCCAATTCGATCCGGCAAGAAGCTTGACAAAGGTCCGCTTTTGCTTTTTGTGTTTTCTCGAAGACTCCACTTTTAATATGTATATATATATAAACCTAAGAGCAATGGCCTCCAACCTAATAGCGATGGCCTCCAGCCTGATAACGAAGGTTCGCTTTTGCCTTTATGTTTCCTCGAAGACTCCACCGTTTCTGGTTTTTTCAGCCCTTTGCTTGTTGTGTTACTGAAAAGAGATCTTGGTCGAGGTTCCCTTTTCGGCCGACCGGTTCCACACGTGGGAACCGGTCCCATCGGTTCCCGACACGTCGGTTCCCGACACGTCGGTTCCCGACACGGCGGTTCCCGACACCGACACGGAATGGTCGCGACCCATTCCTGAGCTGACTCAGGATCCTTCTCTTCCACAGTCTTTAAGCAACATTGTCGCAGCCTCGGATGGTCAAACACCCAACGGACCCACCTGAGAGATGGGTCGGTGGCCCAAGTCGGGCAAACGGTGACATCGGGAGAAGAAAGGCGTCGGGCTGGTGGGGTCAAAGAACATGCTCAACAGGGTGAGTGAAAGATCCCTGAACTCGGAGTGTCAGGGAGGAACTCGGAGTGTCAGGCATTTCCCCACAGCCCATGGCAATCCATGGCACCAGTCTTGAAATTCATTGCTGTTGCAACTGAGACCTGGTCCCTTGCCACGCTGCGGATTGTCGACTACAAAGTCTTGGAGTTGGTGAAGAACTCAGCAACTGCACTGAGTTGGATCGTTCTCGCAGATGAGATGGAAGCCCTGGACCTCCCTTTTCCAGACACTCCAGTTGGTGCCGACCAGCCACTTTTTGTGGAGAAACGGCCGACCTGCTGTGGTCGACCTGGACATACGGCCGAGCATTTCATCGTGTTTTGGGCTCTTGGAAGAGATGTATGCGCACGGGCTCGACACCGAAACACAGGGGTCGGACCTGAAAACCACCTAACTTCACGCAGGGGGAAGGATCCGGGGGTTTGGTTCCCAAAGCCTATCTGTTGGTTCGGGCGCGGATTCTTTGGGTAGTTCGGTATGTCCTTTTGGCGCCTTCGCGATCCAGTGACGCACCGCTCCATCCTAGAGGCTGGGACACTGGCGGTGGCCAACATGAAGGACGGCTCAGCGACCTCGGCGCCGTGGAAGGATCCGATTCCATTCCATATATAGGGCCCATGCCTGGAACGGTGCTGGATCGTCATGTCGTTGGCTGGATGTGACATATTTGAGTTGGACGTTGTATACGAACACCTGGACAAACATTCGGTGGCTTAAAAAGGATCGAATGAAGTTCGCTTTCAGCGACCCCCAGAGCAGTTTCACCCTGAGAACGAAAGCAGATCAAGGGGCATTTGGTTTGTTGTTGCGAAAGTGGTTGCGAAAGCTTTTTGCGGTTTAAGTTAAAGAACAAGCTTCTGCCGCCAGAGTCGCGAGAAAGAATGAATTGAATGCAATGAATGCAATGAGGAGTCGTGGCCGCACACACCAAAACCGGGTCGTGCCAATCGTCCCACGAGCTTCTGCCGCCACACCCCGGGGCAACCCGGGTTTTCGACACAGCTCCATAGAAAAAAACATACACCCTGGGAGTCAAGTCGAGGAATATCCTTTACTTCAGTGGGGCAAACTATAGTCGAACTGGACTTCTGGGGTACACAAGCTCGTGTTGAAGGACTCAACCTGCACCAGATGGTATGGGAAGAGAAGAGAATGGTTGAACCATCTTATACCGGACGCGGTGCATGTTTGTTTTGTTTGTTTCCCAGGTAGTGCAGGATTTGCATCAACATCGAAGGATTTCCCAGCTCACTGCCAGCTCACCAAATGTGTGTTTGCTCAGATGGACAGACCTAATCATTCATCTCTGACATGGATAGAAAGGGGTTTTCCATGTTTTCCTATGAGCCGTGATAGAGAGAGTGGTATCACTTGGGTAACCAGAGCAGAGTACTTGATGCACATTTAACATGGGGAAGTTGAACCTCTTCAAATGCATTTTTCCGTTGCGAAGGGGCAAATTCTCACATGTCTATGTGAAAAACGCAACGGGTATATGATGAGTTATACCCTTCTCCCAAGTCGAATTTTTGCTACGAGCCACTGGTGACCGGTTCATGTTGGTGAGGATTTCAAGGCGTTCGAGCTGGCCTCGCTGCTTTGGTCCTTTGCCAAGCTCGGTACAGCAGACACCATGACACCTGCTGGAGGGCCAAGCCGCACCGTTTCGTTAAGATATATTTTTCTCCGTGAGGAGCAGGGTGTCAAAAGTTTTTTGTTGCAGGGGACAGGAGACTTGTCCAAACCGCCTACGAGCCATGGTCCAAACGTGCCACGTTCAAACGTGGGTTACAGGGGATGGTAGGAACTGTCCAACAACCCTCAAGAGGACCCTTGGAGTCAGGATGGCCATCACCTGCACGAGGAGTGTTGGACGTGGCACAAAACATCTGGAACACCCTCAAATTTCACTTGGTTTGGGTGACCGTGTTGGCCGTGTTGGCATAAAAGAAGGATACAGTTTGATGAACCATGAAAGGATGGTACATGAGAACGAGAACGCGACTGTGTATGTGACTGCAGAGTGCCCGGTGGGGTGCCTAATGTTGTTCGACAGGGCGCTTGTGGCTGCAAGCGGCCGCGCTTGCGGCCGCAAGCAGGTCAGCTAACTCCTCGCCGGGCCTTGCCAGGAAACTGACGTAGCCGGGCACTGAAGCAGCTTTATATGGGCTATTGCACCACAGCACAAGTAGCTAAGTCACCACTTAGATGGTTCCAATGTAGCTAATTCACCAGTCAGCTAAGTTACAGAACACTTTGTTGACTCACCACCTAGCTTACCACCTGGCTAGCTCCAGCTTGGCAACCTCGTTTGAACTCCGTAGTCACTTGGCCAAGTGAGCACTCAACCAATGCAACACCTGAGCCACCTGAGCACAGCTCAAAACTTGAGAACCGTACCCGGTTAGATAGCTCAGCCATCTGCGAACGTGCCGGCTTTCTCTGTGTGTGTTACCGTTTTATGGGTCGGTTTTTTCGCACGCGCACACACACACACACTTATTGACACACGGATCACAGTGCTGCAGGTTTGCCAATCTGCGGTTTTAGGGTTCGAGGTTTTGCCCCGGGTTTCGCAGCCGTATCCTTGAAGCACATTGTGACCAGAAGAACCTCTTTCAACCTTTTGACACCTGTGTTTCTCCTCCCTTTGCTCCAACTTGCTTTCAAAAAGCCCATCACGTCTCCTCTTGCTCCTCCAAGTCGCGCCAACCTTGCTCGCCTCCTCCAGGTGGTGGGTCCTCTGTTCCGAGCGGCCACCTCACGGTTGATGGCCTGCATGCCGGGTGCCGGCTTTCGTAGTCTGGCCACCGCCGCCTGGGCCTTTGCAACGGCACGGCAGGCAGGGTGTCGTTTCCCGGTGTCGTTGGCGAGGCAAAACGTGCAGCGAGGCGGCAGGTGGTCGTAGTTGTCAAATACCCTCCTGTTTGCCGGTTTCGAGCGGGTTGTGCGGCATGCGGCAGGTGGGTGGTTGATCCGAGATTTTTGTGTGGGTTGTAGTTATACCTGGACCTTCAAGGGTGGTTAATGGACACCCCCCCTTAACCTCTAAGGAGCTATAATTGGACACCCCTTGGAGGGTCCTGGTATACTTCTCTATACTTCTCTTAAACTCCGGTTTTTTGATGCTGGTTTCTGGGCGTTGTGAAGAGCTTGGCTGACTCCAGCGACTGACTGCCTCACTGACTGCTTCACTGACGTCTCCAGGCCAGTCAGCGACTGTTCCGCGCGATTGCCAAAGAAGTGCAGACGTGCTTGCCCACAGCAAACAGCCAGGAGCCGCTTCAAGAGTCTAAGTGCAGAGACTGTCTGTGAGTTTTTGAGATGACGTCAGTAAATTCTGCCAGGTGACGACTGAGCCTGCCCAAAGACAACTGGTAATTGGAAACATAAATTTACAAGTCGCCCTCGATGGTCGTCCAATCCTTCCGTTCGCTTCCATGCTTTGACAGTTCATGATGTTCATGTATCTGGCTTCGCTCCCAAGTCCACCGATGGGGTGGATGTTCACGCCAGGAGCTGGCGAACATCGTATGGGCATATGGCCTCTTAGAACCGAAGAGATTCCAAGCGAACGCGCAAAAACGAGTTCGGTGGGAACTCTAAAGTAAGAGCCTTTTGACATCAGGAATCCCAAACTGTGTCCAGATGGTTTTTCCAGATGCTTCGAGCCATCTATGCACACGATCTGCCAGAATCACTGCCACAAGCATTTCAGGAGCATTGCCGCATCCGAGGCACCATCGGGCATCGTGACGATCAGCTTTTTCGCTTGATCGCAGAGGCCGGGCGGCCGCGCCCTGTCGCCTTGGCGACCGAGGGGTCGGGGCGTCCTGGGCCAGGAGCCGGCTCTTGAGCTCATCCGAGGAAAGAAGGGCATCAGTCCCCCAGAATCGGCCCTGGCGTGCCGTACCGCTGGGAATCTGGGACCAGCTCGCCAGGTCGCGCCACCTCGCGGTTTCGCGAGCGATGATGCGCGCCACGGCTCGGGTTTCGCCACCGTTCGCGCGATGATCCGCGGGTGCCGTCGCAGGAGTGCGTGCTTCGACTTCAGGACTTCAAGATGCAGGTGAAGCGGTCGGATCAACACCCGGACGAAAACCGTGCGACCATGAAGAACATTGAAGAAATGGGACAGACCCGGTTTTGTCTAAAAATCCTTGCGTGGAGTAAGACCATGGTGTGGTAAAATCCTGGATCTGACTGCTCGAATCTTCTCGACTCTGGAGCCCTGCGCCCAAAACCCGCTGGAGCCCATCAATCAAGAGATGGCGACCAAGGGCCAAAAGGTGGGACGATAGAGGGGAAGCGATGGAGATTCCGAGTAAAGATGATGAGAATTGGGTTTCTCTGCAGTTGTGTAGGTCAAGTGTTTAAGACTGCATTCTAGACTTGAGCATCCTGGTGCCAGGAGCTGTCAAACACCTTCTGGGGCTTCGCAAGCAATGACTTCTACGACGAGGCAAGCGAGTTGCAATCAACAGGAGAGAGAGAGAGAGAGACAGAAAGAATCAAATAAATACATAAATTAAGACATAAAGAACAGAACAGAACAGAAAAGAAAAGAACAGAACAATGAAAGAAAAGAAAAGAAAAGAACAGAAAATAGAAGACACACAAGAAACGAACACAAAAGAGCAGAAAGAAAAAGACAATATGAAAACATAAAAGAAACGCAGAAAGAATGATAGAACAAAACAGCATAGAAGAAAAGAACGACATAAACAGTGACAAGAAACCACAAGAAAGGAACCGAAAAGAGAAGACGAAATAAAAGAAAGAACGCACGAACGAACGAAAGAAAGACAGACAGAAAGCGATGCAACTTCGCACCAGGCATTCTTCCACAAGGCACTGATCCTTGCACAAGGCGTGACCGATCTGCTTCACAGACGATGCTTCCACTCCCATGGGAGCGAGAAAAAAAAAGCGAAGTCCTTTTTTGGAATACTTGAACATGTCTTTGGGAGCCTCTAAAAATGTGCAAAACTTCCAAACTGTCTTCCAACAATATGTCGTGGATGTGCTTAGAAGTAATGGGGACAGCTTCGGGTCAATTTCCCTAAACCGAACCCAGGGGGTCGGAACGTCTACGCCGTTCGGTGCCCGTTTGATGTCCAACTGGCATCATGAACTGTCAAGATGAACCCAAATAGATGTAGGCTTTGCCTCCAACCGAAGAGCGATGGCCTCCTCCAACCTAAGAGTGATGGCCTCCAACCTGAGTCAGCATGTGCTCCTCAGGTGCTCTTCTGCTTCTGGGATCCAATGTTTCCCCAAAACCGCATCGGTCGTGAGGTTCCAGCAGCGCTGTGCTGTCCCCATGGTCTACCCCGCTGTGTCGGGAGATTTGACAGCAAAGACCAACGGGAGAGAAGCCAAGCCTCCATTGTTGGTGCAAGGTCCTTTTCATCGTGTACATGACTGCCGCCTAGAGCCCCAATTTCATCCCTGTTTTGCCCGGCAAGGGCCATATTTAGGACGGGTCGGTGGTCCAACAAAGAAGTCACTCAGAGTCTAGGCACCACTCAGCGAGAGTTGACACGAGAACATCGGGGACCGACTCCAGTCAGGATCATCCTCCGACACCACGACGCATGCGCCGTGAACACCTCCACGTTGGGCCAGGAATGCAGCTGCAGCCGCAGCACGTGGCGAACATCCTTTGGGCGCGACCATCCTTGGGATGTTTTCTTCATGAGAGTGACGGCCATCGGATGCCATCACATCTCGCTGTGGGTGTAGCATGTACCTGGAGCTTTTTGATGCACCTTCCGAATCAGAACTTGAAAGGCTCTCAAATCCCAGTTGGACTCTACCCCGGCAAATCGGGATATTGATAAAATCACCAACGTCAAGCGCTGGGGTGTCCACCCAGCGCTTGATGTGGGATGAACATTCCAGATACGGTTTCAGAGTAGATGGCGACCTCAAGATCTTCTTTACTTTGCATAAATCACCCAATAGCTGGGGGGTCTGTGCCATCTACACTCTCACTCCATACCGTCGAACCTGCCGCACGTCCCCGCCCGACTCGACACCGTGGACCCGGACGGGCGTCCGAAAAAGGCCGCTGCCCGACTGCAGCGCAAACATCCCGCGGCGAGGCGAGGCGTTTTTTGCAATTTGGTTTATAACTCAGACGCTCCTGGACCCTCATATGGAGGGGTCTGGGGTCGAACCATTCCCTAGGTTTTGAGGGACCAAGGGCTGTTTGGAGCGTCTGGGTAAGTTTTAAAACGAGCCAATCTGCAGTGGTTTTCTCTTTTTCTTCTCGTGGCCGGCCATCTGAAGTGAGCGAAAAGCGCATGAAGAGGTGCTAAACATTCCAAACTGCCTTCCAAAAGTCTGTTTGGGTGTGAATTTTTCCATGGGGGGGGACCCTGTGGCCCTGGCTGGGGTAGACAGGTCCATTTCCCTGAAGCTCTTCACCCCAAATGTCTCGAGCTCCTCCCCTTCATTGGGCTGCAACTGAATGCCACATCAGCCGGTCTGGGTGTCCACTGGTGCGCTCAGAAGCAGGCAGGCAGCGCTGCACATGATCCCAAGGCCGGGAAACCAACGGCACGGAACGAACGAGGCCTTTTCCGTCGGGCGAGCGGTGGAACGGTTCGGTGATCGCTTTTGGGCAAACATAGAGGATCTTCACACGGAATCAAGCAGAGTGGTGCAAGGGTGCTGCAAGGCCTGACCAGACCTGGCGAGATTGTCACTGTGTGATGCTTCGAAGCGAAGTCTTCTTCGGTCCGTAACGAAAACAACCAAGTGTAAAGCTGACGCTTTGACCTTTTTCGGTGCCAAAATCGAAGTGATTCTTCAACAGAACTCTTGTTTGAAGGTCCTAGACTCCGTCGAGGTCTTCGGTCACCGAACGCCCCCTCCTCGAGGTGTTTGGCCTTCTTGACCTCCTTTAAACCGCAGGAGGCTCTCGAGCGTGGAGCGACGCGTAGTTGCAGGGTGGAGACCGGAACAAGAAGCTACCCTGAGGTTGTCGCACCCGAAACAACACAAGGGTTGGGTTCGGGGCCCCAAACCCTTTAGTTCTAGAGGCTTCGACCCCTTAAGGAGGATCCCAAAGACCAGATCGGCCAGATCGCTCCACGAGCTCCTCGGTCGACCGATCGGCGGTCGGAGCACGACACACCCATGCAGGGTGCGTTTTCTGGAAAAGCCCGGCCCAACGGAGTTGGGATGTGTTGGTTGGAGATTCTCCGGACACTCGCAGTGAGGACGAATCAGCTATTTTTGGCACCCATTCCCCAAAGCTGGAGAGTCTAGACGGTCCCGTTTCTCAAACCCGTTATAAGGCCGGTACTCCGTCACACTCTGACATTGGTTTTCAGTTAACTCAATTGCCACGTTGGGAAGGAAGGTGAAGAACGGTAAGGTGAAGAGTCCGCAAATCTTGTAGATGTTTGAACAAAATGGTTTGAAGTCTGCAGAAAGCACGAAAACGAAACGCTCACGAAAACGTGCGGCTCAGTTGCAAGAACGCGGTGGGAAGGTTTAGGGGGAGTATCATGAAGAACCATGAAAACAAACAAGGTCAATTGGACAGCTTGTTCAACCGTTAAAGCAGGTACACATCCATGGCCAGTGGATGCTTCCCTCTCTGATGCCTAGCTTCGTTGGACAAAGTAGCATCAGAGAGCTCTGTCCCCCTGCTTTAAATTAAATTAGACCCTTGGAAACAGGGTTTGACACACACGGTGCCGCTTCGCGGCGCGCATGTGAAAGACCTGAATAGTCACCTAAAAAGCCTTAGAAACAAAAGAAAAGAAAGACAGAAAGAGCAGCGCTAAGAGGGCAAGAAAGAAAGGTAGGTGTAGAAAAAGTGAATACTTAGCCCTTGACTGGGGTAGGGAAACGAGCCTCAAGAGCAACCTAAGAAGCCTGAAAGAAAGCCCAACAAACGACGAAAAGCGCAAGAAGGAAAGCGGGGGGGGGCAGGGAGGGCTGTATGTCCATGTGTGTGTCTGAATACCTAGCACTCTGGAGTTACTGATTACTTAGCAGAGATGAATTAAGTGCAATAGCTAGGGAGCGGGACTTTAGTCTTGGACCGCCCGGGTAGGATAGACTAGAACAGGAACAACACAGGGAAAGGCTCCGACACACAAGTGTGTCGAGTACCATTTCCCTATGTTGCCCTAAATAGGTAGGGAGTAGAACTCGGCTGGGGGGGGGGTTGGGAAACCTGCCTCATTGCTTATAGCCCGGCGGCTCTGGATTCGGTGGTTGAGATTGTCCATTTTTTGGCCCGGCGGCTAAAAAATCCATCAATTCAGTTATGAAAGTGAAGAAGCAAAGGGTCAGTTATAAATATGAAGGACCAGTGAATTCCGGAATGGTTTCGGCGCCTCCTTTCGGAGGGTCACGCACAGCACCCAAGTGGGAAGACTGAGCGGCTCACACTCTGACATTGGTTTTCAGTTAACTCAATTGCCACGTTGGGAAGGAAGGTGAAGAACGGTAAGGTGAAGAGCCCGCAAAACTTGTAGATGTTTGAACAAAATGGTTTGAAGTCTGCAGAAAGCACGAAAACGAAACGCTCACGAAAACGCGCGGCTCAGTTGCAAGAACGCGGTGGGAAGGTTTAGGGGGAGTATCATGAAGAACCATGAAAACAAACAAGGTCAATTGGACAGCTTGTTCAACCGTTAAAGCAGGTACACATCCATGGCCAGTGGATGCTTCCCTCTCTGATGCCTAGCTTCGTTGGACAGAGTAGCATCAGAGAGCTCTGTCCCCCTGCTTTAAATTAAATTAGACCCTTGGAAACAGGGTTTGACACACACACACACACACTCTGACAATTGTATTCAGTTAACTCAGTTCCCCAACAAAAGGAATGACTCAACGGCAAGGTGATGAGTCCGATCAATTGAAGGTGTTTCAACAAATAGTTTGTGCACATCTGCAGACTCGCGACAGCAGCGGACGAGCGGCGGACGGCAGCTGAAAGGTGGCTGTGGGAAAACCTGTTTATGGGAGGTATCATGCGGAACGACCATGAAAGCAAAGAACAGCGGCAAAAATTGGAGTTGTATCACGATGCAGGTACATGGTTGAGCGTCCTCAACCACTTCCCTTCCAGTGACCCAGCTTCGTTGGATCAGGTTAGCCACTGGAAGCCTGATCCCCCTGCATTCAAAACTCTTAGTTACAGAGGTGGAACCCTTAGATACAGGGGGTGACACACACAAACCGCCGATTCCGGCGCAAGTGTGTAGAACGTTGAAGGTGGAACTTTGTACAGAAAGCGCCAATATTGGCGCTGTGAAAAACTAATAGCCACCTAAAAAGCCTTAGAAAGACAGACAAAGCAAACAAAACAAAAGCAGACTAAGAGGGCAAGAAAGAAAGATAGGGGTAGTTACGAGGCCCACTTAGTTAAATGAAAGTAGAGCGCGAGCGGGACATTTGTCTTAAACCGCCCGGGTAGCTAGCAATAGGCTAGGAGAAACAGAAGGAAAGGCACCAACACACAAGTGTGTTGAGTGCGATTTCCTTCTGTTTCCCGAGTAGCGGGTGGGGTAGCAACGGAGGCCCAGGGGTAGGGAGGGGAAAAATGCACGATTAATTCGTCCGGCCTGTGAGTACTTAGCAGCACATGCACATGTGAATGCTTAGCCGTTGCACAAACACTGTCAGTTCCCGTGTTTAGGCCCGGCGGCCGTGGTGGCAGTTAATTCGGTGGATGTGGAGGTGACTTCCAGTGGAGTTCCTGTGAAAGGTGGTGAGGTCAGTTAGTGCTTGCACGATGAGACAGCGCCCCAATGACGGGGATCACACTCAGCACCCGAGTGGGACGGCTGAGCGAAACACACTCTGACAATTGTATTCAGTTAACTCAGTTCCCCAAGGAAAGGAATGACTCAACGGCAAGGTGATGAGTCCGATCAATTGAAGGTGTTTCAACAAATAGTTTGTGCACATCTGCAGACTCGCGACAGCAGCGGACGAGCGGCGGACGGCAGCTGAAAGGTGGCTGTGGGAAAACCTGTTTATGGGAGGTATCATGCGGAACGACCATGAAAGCAAAGAACAGCGGCAAAAATTGGAGGTGTATCATGATGCAGGTACATGGTTGAGCGTCCTCAACCATTTCCCTTCCAGTGACCCAGCTTCGTTGGATCAGGTTAGCAACTGGAAGCCTGATCCCCCTGCATTCAAAACTCTTAGTTACAGAGGTGGAACCCTTAGATACAGGGGGTGACACACACACACACACCCTCTGACTCACTCAGCCGGCCGGTTCTCCTCGATTTCTTCCAGACATTTTGCCTCTCTTTCACTCGTTTTCCTCCCAAACCAGCATCCAACCAGCACTTGACCGCCACCGTGCCGCAACACCGCGCACCACCGCCCAACCGTGGAACCGCCCAAGGTGGCCTCGACGGCGCACGCCGTGGCGAAAATCTTCTCCTCGGAGGCGGCGCCGTGCCGAAGCGGCGGTGCCGTGCGTCGGCGCGCGGCAGCGCCGTGCCTCTTGCGACGAGACCGGCCGCGTCGTGGTCTTGGTGGGGCCAGTCGGGTGTGGAACAGGGACACGGTCAACTGCTGCTGTTTTGTCCGGTCGGGGCTGGAATGGATTGTTTTGGGGTCTTGGTGGTCGAACGAGCTGGTGTGGGTGTGTGGATGTAGCTTCAGGCTGATGGATATGAGTGGAGGCCTCAGACCGAACGTGAAAAGCGCATGAAAAGCGCATTTCGCGAATGGATGCGATGAACCCATGAACCTCTCCATGAACACCCAGGTTTAGAGGACAGACAGCCATCCCGTGCATAGCTCAGGTTTTGACCTTGTGAGCCTTGTGCTGCTGGATTTTTCACTTTTTTCCAATCACATCAGTCGATGGTTCAGCCCAGGCTACAAATCTCAATGTTTTTCAGTGCGATCACACCGCATGAGCCTTGGAGTATGGCCGGCCACAAGCATGGACCCGGAAGCCTCCTGAGGGAAATGCACTTCATGTTGATTTCTGACAGGGGGGAACCACTTGAAGGGTTCAGTACTTTTGTAGCTTGCGCTTCCCTGCTGTGCCGCCCAAAAACGAGGCACTCAAGATGATTTTCGCCACCCAAAGAACAACCCCCAGACCAGCACCATGGAAAGTACATAGAAACTCCGAATCAGCGACCAGTGATCCGAATCAGCGACTGGTCAGACCTCGGATGAGCGACCACGAATCAACGACCAGCTACCCCGCAACAGGGCTTAGCGTTTGTGTCTTGGGGTTGGGCTTCACTTCTTTATAGGGTTTCCTTTCGGTTTGGCTTAGGGTTTCACTTCCGGAGGTTCTTTTTGGGCTTGGTTTAGGGCTTCACTTCTTTGGGGCTTCCTTTGGGTTTGGCGTAGGGCTTCACCTCTTTCGGGCTTCCTTTGGATTGAGCTTAATTCGCCTCTTTGAGGTGTGGGTTTTGTCCGGTGACCGATTCGGGTTGCTTTGCTTCGTTGGTTTTTCTCGTTGCAATCGGTGGTGCCCCGGTCTCGGGACTGACCCCTGGTCCCAGTGGGCGGCGTCGACGAATAAACCGACCGACTCGCTGGTGTCCGATACATACTCCCGCTGCCCGGAAAAGACCTGCCCTCCCGTGGTGCTGGGTCAATCATTCGAGAAGTTGCCAACTTTCATTTTCACCGAAAGACTCGCGGTTGCTGCCTGACTCCCGAAAGGCGATTTCACGCAGCCCTGGCTCGAAAACCACCCGGCCAGATGACTCCATTGATTTTTAGAGCCCTTTTGTGCCTTGGCGAAGGAGTGAAAAGGAATGAACACCCTTCGATCGAGGGTTTCAGGATCAAGGACATCAGGAGATTTACATCTACACTCTGACTCTCTAACATGGAAGTGGATGGTCCCCTTGTCCGTAAAGGAAAGTAGTCTTCCTAGTGTGCCTCTTGCCATCCGCTTCCATGTGCCGTGTTCATCTTGTCGTGTAGATTTAGAGGATCTTTTTTCATCCTTGTCCTTTAGGTGTTGAAGAGGCATCTTTTGAGAAAGTTCTTCAGATTTTGTCTTCGCCTTCCCTCCATCAACCTGGCGGACTGAGGTTCAGCCTCGCGCTGAGTGAGGAAGTTTGTGAGGAAGATCAAAATAGTTTGCTACAGGCTTCGAAGGCTCGGGCTCGGGTGGCAAGCTGTACGACATGCTGCAGTGCAGGGTGTTTACATGTGTAACAACTGCTGAGTGAGAGTGTTTACTGCGCCAAAAGCGAACTGGAAGGTAGAGGGGTACTTTACGACAAATGGCAGCCTTTCATGACTGGACTAGGAAGCCACTCACTTCCGGGGCACGCCGAACGAAACTCTGCGAGCGCTACCCGCATTGCTCGCAAGATGCTTCGACTGCACATCTCGAGAGCAACCAGCTGTTGCTTTGAGAGAACTGTCTACGAAATCTGCATCGGTCCGAGTTCAGAAAGTCATCCAATTCTTTCTGCTTCCTAAGGAGGAGATGTATTTCCCTATGAAATGATGACTTGCCCAGGCAGGCGAAATCGATGTCTTCGGTCTGCCGCCTCGCCTTTGCTCCGGCATGCGTCTAGGTTTCCTTGGTGTTCCGAGGTCCTCCTACCCAACTTACGTAACTACAACCCGCCGTGGTTTTTGGAACACAAGACCCTTCGAGCGCGTACCGTTCTCGTTTCGCAGGCGAACAAGCGTTGACGACCAGACAAATGCTTTCGAGTGATTATGATGCAGTGATTGCCAAAGTACAGGATGGGTCGTTGCGCCGAAAGCTGACTGCATTGACCGCTGTTTTCTTTATGTTTCTTTTTTTTGCCGCCCTTTTAGTTATTTTTTCTTTTCAATGATGGATGTCTTTATTTTGTTTTATTGGACGGTGAGTCACATTTTTGTTGAAGCCAAGATCGTTTCGTCGCTCGCGTTCTTTGGACCGGGATCAGGGCCTCTACAATGGCTTGTCCAAGAAATGCGATGGAGACGTTTGCCCTCAGGCGCAGAGCTCAGCCTCAACTCGCCGCTGGGGTCGAGACGAGCTCGCTGTCTGAGGCCGACTGGGCGGGCTGCGTGCTGCGCATTGCTGGGCACGATTTCATGGACTACGTCAAAAAGGCTGGAAAAGGGTTGACCGTTGGGGTCTGTCGAACCTGACCTGTAACAGTCAGGGAACTGGTCTATCATGATTGAACAAGGCCTGCAACTGAACCATCATCCACTGGGCTTTGGTAATAGAATAGACTCATAGACCCAAGCCATACCCTATGATATCCAAATACCCTCTGAGAAAGTGAGCAAGGACACTCATATATATATATATATATCACTAAATTGTCCACATTTTTGGAGGGTCCACTGCCACCAGGGTGCATTCGTGGGTCATCGTGGATCTATATAGGGATTTTTTCGCCATCCTCCCCGGTCTCCTGAGGTCCTGTCTCGACCCTGCGGGGTCCAACGAACGCCCGAACGCCCGAACGCCTGAATGCCATGTCAGGAGAGCCTCGATCTACCAGTGTTCCAGGGTAGCCAGTGGTTTGTGGGGGGGGTCATGGTACCTTCTACCAGGACCCTCCTGTCGGGGTGCCCTGTTTGGAAGCCTATAGGTAGTGTGGGGTAGTCCAGCCAGGACACCCCGACAGGAGGGTTTAGGTAGACCTTCTAGACCTTGTAGACCTGTGGGGGGGTTAATGAATCCGATCTAGACCTCGCTTGATCAGGATGGCCGCGGGGGCTCGGATGGTTGCCTGGATCTGAGCGAAGCACGGCTGCAGCGAGGGGTGGGCGAGGGGGCTGCCACCGGCACAGCTCATCCGAGGTGCCAAGGGGGCAGGCTGTGCCCGTGTCAAGCTGGGTGAGTCTTCGGAAACCGTTTGTTGGGGGGACAGAGCTTTGGGATGCTTGGGTGCCCAAAGAGAGATGTTTGCACGCATGTTCGAGTCGAGTCGAAGAAACTGAAATGGAACTAGACCAGTTGTCCATCAGCAATTCTGAAAGCGCTTAGGGGTTTCTTTCGACTGTCCAATAGGAGGGGACGGGGACTGTGTGACGTCTGAGCGCATCGCGCGCCAAGTCTGCGCCAAGCGCCTGAAGGACCCGGACAATGCTGGCTTGGCCGATTGCATGTATCAGGGTGCCGATCATGGTGTTTCCATTGCAGATGCGCCACTTGGACGGTTTTCCCACCAAAAAGGAGAGAGACCTTCCAGTTTCGTGTCCAGTTTTTGTGGCGTTGGGAGTCTTTTTGCGGCCTTGCCGAAGTCGAATACACACCGAGTCAACCTTTTGACCCAACGTTTGCCTGGCTCGGCGGTCCAGGCGCAAGCGAGGCCTTGGCCGGTAGTGGGACCGTCGGATGGCGTCAGGTACGTCGACTTCTGTGAGAAGGTCTCACTGGCTGACTTTGTGGTGATGGCAGCGAATGCGGTCATCAAATCCACGCGAGAGCCTCTTAGATGGAAGACTGGGATTGTTTAGAACAACGAGATTTTTGGGACGAACTGATGCAAACGCGGCATCCGTTCCCGGCCGAGTTCTTTGATTTTCGACCAACAAACTTGACCTGACGGGAAAAGAAGAGAGACCTCATGACCTGACCTCATCTGAGGGAGGTGCTGAAAAAGTATCCAACGCGAAAGCCCTTCGACTTGAAGAGCGTCTTCCGGTCCCTTTGAAGCAACGCATCACCTCCCGCCGTTGTGCTACGCGGAAGTGCCTTCGATTTGCCGTGGAACCGGTGGACCGTCACGAAGTCATCCGTGAGGCCATCCGTCCAATTCGTTCAGTTTGGCCACTTTGGACGAAGGGCCATGTGACGTCAACGCGACGTGGGGGTCCTTGGGGGGGGTCCTTGAATTGCAACATGTGGCCAACTTGGCATCATTTTACCATGGTTTCTGGCAGACGCGGACGGCTTTCGTTTTTCCGATCCCATGGTGGAACTGCTGGGTCGTTGGGGGACCATTTGGGTCTCAGGTGAAGATCTGGGGATGGTTTCATTTGGTTTCATCAATGTAGACCCTGACGAACCGCCCCAACCTTTGGATTGTAAGACCTCTTCACACATGGGGGTTGACATATCATCAGGGACAACCCTGGCATTGCGCCGTTCCCGGGTGACGCTACCCTAGCGTCCGGGTCGCGCGTGCAGGTACGGCCGTACGACCCTGAAAAGGTGCTCATGGGCAGTTGGAAGGCTGCCAAATCCGGAGGCGAACCCGGCCAGTGCACATAGTAGCAGTCACGTTCGACGGGGTGCGATCCATGGAGGTTGGGGGTGCCCAGCTACTCCACTCACTGGATGGGACTAAATACCACTCCTTTGTGACTCCTGGTAGCTTCTTGCTGGTAGTGATGCACTTGTTCCTAGTAGCTAGTAGCCCTTGCTCCTTGCTACTAGCTTCTAGCTAATACTAGAATCTGAGACCCTCTGCTCAGGAAGGTCTGTTTTCCGTGGAGGGTTTTCAGGAATTCTAGGGGTAGGACATTGCTTGATTTCGGGACATTGCACTTGCGTTTGCCACCGATTTTTTTTTGCACTGTTTTAAGTTCAATGGCAGGTGTCTTCGGTCGGAACCTGCTTTTTCACACATCTTTTCCTTTTTCTTCGGGGATCCACCTTTCGAGTTCCTGCATGTTGCTTCGAGTTCCTGCATGTCGCGAGCTTGCCGCAGAACAGCTGCGCTGATGTCAAGAAGGTCTTTGTGAACCACATGGGCCTCTCCTGGAAAGAGGCTGCGATTCATTCTTGTTGTGATGCGGGCAGCTGACGATCAGCTGACGATGTGGCGGCAGCGGGTGGTCGGGCTAGACCTTTTGGAGCTGTGTAATCTCCGGTTTTGGATGATCAACTCTCCAAAATATCACCTTTATAGGGCCTTTTTCGAAAGGTCATGTCTGGGTTCTAGGGAGATTAAAGGGCCAGCAGCAGCGTGCTTTTGCCACTCTTTGGCCTTCCAATGTTTTTTTCAACGCACGAGTTTGCTGGGGGTGCAGCTTAAGTCACAGGTCCTTTTACCGCCCAACTGGAGGTGGTTTTCAACGACCAACGCTGAGCAACAAGCCTTTAGGTCACCAGAGGCCCTTTGAAAGTCACCTGACCCGTTGGTCTCCGGAGTTAATCCAGGCACACCTTGTAGGTCAACGTTGCCGCCCCCAGACTCAGAGCTCCTCAAAGAACTTTCACCTTTTAACAAGAAGCTACTA